GAGTGCTGGGATTAAAGGCGTGCGCCACCACTGCCCGGCTATTGTTAGTCTTTCTCCAGTCCTTCCCCAGAGGGACCTGAAGCCTTTTATAAGGGTAACTGTATGCTGAGGGAAAGGAAGCGATCAGATTTTCTGGAGTCTATTGGAGACTGGTTCCGTGAGATCTCAAGAATTGTGGCCCTCCAGTTAAATCGGGGGCTTATGGGCATCAGGTTATTAATGGAGTTTTGGTTGAATTCTGACTCAGTAGGTCCAGTGGGTCCCTGAACTCATCCTATATTATTTCCTCAGTATATACTTGAGATACACTTAGAAGCTGGCAGGATTTACACATTGTTCCCTGACCAGTGCAGTGAGGGCTGTTATGGTTGGAAAGGCCAAACAGAAGCCACTGGAGCTGCCTCTGCCAGAAAATGGTCAACCAAAACAATACCACATCCCAGGAGGAACTGCAGGAGTCAGTGTCACGCTCAAGGACTCGAAAGATGCAGGGTGGTGGTTCCACGTCTTCCTTTAACTCTCCCTGGCTGGTGGAGAACAACAGTGACTACTGAAAACTTAGCCAAGCAGTGACTCCAACTGTAGCTGCTATAATAATGTGGTGCCCTCACTTCAGCAGATTAACGTATCTCCTGGTACACGGTATATGCAGCCACTGACCCAGGAGAGGCTGTTTTCTCGGTACCTGTCCAGATGGACCTACAGAAACAATTGGCTTTCAGCTGGCAAGGCCAGGAATATACATTTAGTTTTACCTCAAGGATGTATTAACTCTTCTGCCCTGTGTCATAACTTCGAAGGGAGCTCGATCATCTGTCTCTTCCATGAAATATCACACTAGTGCACTATATTGATGACATTATGCTGATTGGACCAAATGAGCAGGAGGTAGTGAATTCAATTCACTTTGAATTCATTGGTAACACATATGCAACATCAGAGGATGGGAAATTAATCCAACCAAAATTCAAGGCCTTTCTTTTTCTTTCTTTTTTTGTTGTTGTTTTTTGTTTTTTTTTGAGACAGGGTTTCTCTGTGTAGTTTTGGTGCCTGTCCTGGATCTTGCTCTTTAGACCAGGCTGGCCTTGAACTCACAGAGATCCATCTGGCTCTGCCTCCCAAGTGCTGGGATTAAAGGCATGCACCACTACCGCCCAGCTAGTGAGTTTCTTTTCTGAATTTGGTAACAAGGAAAACTATAACTATCTAGTCTTCAACTCCATCAAGACCTAATATATAAGGAAATAATATTACCTGAGTAAACAGGAATTGCAGAACAAACACTTCCAAAATTAAAAAATGACAGAAACAGCTCACTGCCTGGATAGTGATTCAAGATCCCTCTGCAATGTTGGGGCATCCATCTTCAGGCTGCAGGCCTACAATATATGACAGACTTTTCTGTGAAGCAGGATATTCTGAAGGGCTGTCCTGCTTTGTCTTGGCAAAGTTCGGCACTCACTTACTTTTGTGTCCTGCTTGTCCAATTTGGACAACATACTGTCAGCAGTCAAGGCAAGGCATTTTCTAGCCCAGTGGCTAACTTTTGCCATAAAGAAAGTAGGGCTGGAGTGTCACGGACTGGCCCATCGGAGGTACCACAACTGTAGGAGAATCAGGGCTTGGGTAGTCAGGAAGGCAAGGATTTGGCGAATGACAGACAGATAACACACTAAGAAGTGGTTTGAATCTGCTGCAATTTTACTTTTGTAAATCAGTAGTTTATATACAGAAAAGAAAACTATCAAGTCATACAAGGAACAATAAGAGCTTGGCAATAATTCAATTACATCATCTTTAAAAAACAGCAAGCACACAATTATTAATCGGCGCTAGACATATTCCTTCACCCACAAGAACTTTATGACCCAAAGAGCAGTCTGTATTTTTTTAACTTAACACAGGTTCCTAGACTTGTGTTGACTTCTTGCAGTTGCAGCTGTGTCCTTTATCTTATCTCAGCAGCTTTTTAGTTTATTATACATTTTTACTTTTTTGGTTCTCATGACCCACTTAGCCAATTTGGATGCTGCAGACCCTAAGTCTTTTTTTTTTTTTTTAGTTCTTTCACCACATATCTCTTCTAATATAAAACTTTTTTCCTGTTGGAATATGGACTCTTGTACTTTTATGCCTGTAAAGGGAAGGGGTTCTGTTGTAGTCCTTAAGTTTCCCATGCTGAACTTCCTCAACAGAGGGGCCCACCATCTGCCACCTATGAGATAACATTTTCTACCATAAATCACTTTAGTTGGGATTCTTAAAGGATCCCTAGTGGGTGAGTGTTCATTCCCTAGAAATGCCTGAACCTTTACACTTTTTTTTAATCTAGTGGCTTGGGGTCTTTAAGAAATAGCTCATTCTGTTATATCTGATTAAGATCCATGTCCAGCTTCTCCTTTCCTCCATAGTTTACAACCCAAGCATTCATTAATTTTGGCTGTGCTTTATAGATTAATTAGAACATTATCAGAAAAGCAGTTATACAGAACCCATATCCCAGGGAGCTCATGATCCATGAAGCACGTCTCCTTCGAGAAGGAGGCATAACACAGGCACTCTGCCAGGGACCTCCAAGGAGCTTAGTCCCATGGGACACGTATCTCCCGTCCGCTATTATAGACATAATTGTTCATGTCACACGGACAACACTGGAGTTGGTGTGGCACTGGAGAGATGGCTCAGGCGTTAAGAGCATTGGCTGCTCTTCCAGAGGTCTTGAGTTCAGTTCCCAGCAATCACATGGTGGCCATAAAGAAAGTAAACTCCATATGGAGTTTCTTCTTGGATGCCCATCATCTTCTCTGAAGTAGATTAGTATGGCCAGGAGCAGACGTGTCTCACTGTCATAAAAAGAACCCATTTTATTAAACCATCTTAAATGCCATATTCGGTAGATCTCTGAAGTGTTTGAAGACCATTTATCTAAAGTATATCTCTGTTTGTCTTTGAAAACATACTTAACATGACTACAAGTCTGATTGTAATAGGTGACTAACTACTAACCTGTATTTCTTTATTATACTAAATAATTTTTAATAATAACTTTCAAGGACTAGAAATGTACATTACATTGTTAAATGAGCTGTATATATACAATACCTTGAACAAGAGTAGAAATGTATGTACAGTATGTTCTAACAAAAATAACCTTAGATTTGTATCAATATACAAAAATATCTTAAATAAGAGTAGAAACATATAAAAAGTATAATAAAAATGACCTCAAATTTATATCAAAATAAAAAAAAATCCATACCAATGGAAAAATATTTAAGACTAGTAGTTGCTTTTTTGGGGAATGGAGAGATGGCTCAGGGGTTAAGAGCACTGGTTGCTTTTCCAGAGGTCCTGAGTTCAATTTCCAGCAACCACATGGTGGCTCATGACCATCTATGGTGGGATCTGATGCCCTCTTCTGGCATGCAGATATACATGCAGAGCACTTGTATAAAATATAAATAAATTTTAAAAATAGATTCAATAATCTACACCTTTCTCCAGGCAGTGATGGCACACACCTTTAATCCCAGCACTTGGGAGGCAGAGGCAGGTGGATCTCTGTGAGTCTGAGACTAGCCTGGTCTACAGAGTGAGTTCCAGGACAGGCTCCAAAGCTACACAGAGAAACCCTGCCTCAAAAAAAAAATCTTTTTATCATATCATTTCTATATCCCACCTTTTTCTTTTCAGAACAAGATCCCTGAGTCTAATCTCCTTTGTTTTTTTTTTCCTGATGATTACCAATAACAACTTATAACCAACCTTTAGGGAAATGGGGCCAGCCAAAGAAACCCACCCTGACCCTGAAACCAGAGCCAGTGAAAGAAACACACTTTAGCCCTGAAACCAGAGCCAAAGAAATACACTTTTGCCCCTGGAACCAGAGCCAGTGAAAGAAATATGCTGTCCCTAAAACTAGAGCCAAAAAGCTAAAAAGGGCCAGTGAAAGAAAACAGTTTGGCCCTGAAACCAGAGCTCATCTGCCCCTGACCAACTGAGCATGAAACCAACCAATCCCTGAGCACAAAATCTAGCCAATCTGAGCTTGTCCATGCTTAAGAGAATTGAAATTTCACCAATCTCCACCCTGAAAAATCTTCCTAGAAAAACCCCCGCCCCTAAGAAGCCCTATATAAGCCTTGGGCCTGTTGCGTTTGCTGCTGCCTTCTCTACTCTGGCAGAGGCAGCCACTCTCCTGGATAATAAATTCTTGAATGAGGTTTGAGTGAGACTTTTTTTTTTTTTTAATGCCGAATGCTGTTTATTGAAGGAGGGAGGAGGTCTTAAATACAAGCTTACAGCACAATGGGGGAACCCCGAGGGCAGAAGTTTGCTACTGATGTTTTACAATCTTGCATCTAAGCTGTTAATGCCCATTATGCAGGATACACAGACAAGGAACTTCCCTTAAGCATTCAGGAAGGTGGAACCCAGCAGGGAATTAGTATAGGGAGGATATCAAGGTCAAGGTCAGCAAGCAAGGCAACAGTTACCCAAAACAGGGGGCCAGGAAGCTACAGGTCCCCCTGTTACTAAAAAATGAGCTTCTGACTTAGGTTGCGTGGGATGTCAGCAGGTCACCTTACCCGTCATGGAGACGCCTGCCCAGGCCACACAGGTGCTCTGTCTTAGGTTGGTGAGTGTCCCCCAGGCATTACCCAAGGTGAGACCTTCTTTAGCCAGAGCAGAGATGAAGCCTGGGCAGAGCGGAACACAGCTATAACAATCTCTCTGGAGAAACCTTCCTTTAGGTGAGCTGAGTTGTTACACCTGAGTAGAACTGTAACAACTTCACTGGGGAAACCCTCCCCTGCAGGGGTAGAGTTGTTACATTGGGGAAACCTTTCCCCGGAGCAGGGCTGTAAGCTGCTATGCTTACAGTGACTTGTACTCCTTGGCTCCCCAACACCAGCATCCCTTTCCATATGCGTTGCAATTCTTACACAAAATATCTATAAACCACTGAATGTCCAAAACCACCCACCCCACCTCTTGGGAATGTGGGCATCATGTTCTTAAAATTACCTCCTGCTGTCTGGGGGTGATGGCATCTTTAGGGGATCCTGAAAAAAAATTGGGATAATTGTCAAATCCTGTGAGAGCTAGCTGTATCATTTGTTGTCCAGTCTCTGCCTAATGGGAAAATGCAAGGCTTATCTCAAGTTTTGGCTAGAGTAGTCTGTGAGACTGGATCATCTAAGCTAAGCCACCTTGAAATTGTCCTGAGCAGTTTGTAGTCCAAAACTGATCTTTGTGGTGGTGTTTGTCAGCTTAGTGGCACTACCATTGTCCCGGTGGAATTGTTGTTGTAGGGCCCCATCTGCCTTTTGGAGACTTCAAAGGTCACTGTTAGGCATGGTTATGATTCACTGTAGAAAGCTTAAACATTTTAAATGTCATATGCAGCAGATCTTGAAGAAGTTAAAGGACCATAATTTGTTATGTATATTCAGGGTACAAAAACTTAATTTCTAGTTACCTGATAGAGATTCAAACCCAAAACCATGTACAGGAAGCTAGATGAAGCCCTTTTCTAAAATTAGTTAGTACTCTATATGGCCATTAATATCATGACAAAAAAGTTTATATATATATAAATCTTATAAATTTTGAGAAAAAATTTAAAGAATCAAAATAAAATCAAAAGTTTATGAGATTAGTGGCAACAGTATAATCCCTTAATTTTGGTTTTTCTTCTGTCCCATATCAGCTGGGTCTTCTGACATGAGACAGAGATTTTGTATTTTCCTTTTAACAAGTATGCTTAGGTTTAGCATGGTCCAAATCCAAAGCCAGCTTTAATTTTTAATTGAACTGGAACTACAAAAAGACCATTTGAATTATATGTATGTGAGAACAGCAGAAACAAACATTTGGGAATATATATGACATTTTATTCTGTTGGAGATGTGATATACCAATAGGCCAATTTACTCTTTTTCTTGGGACATTTTCTCTGGATAATTTGTCTTTTTTCTTCAGATGTCTCATTTGTCCAATAGTCTTCAGATTCCTTAGCTGGATGCCTTCATTCTTCTGGAAAAACAAAAATAAAACCCTGCCCCAACTTTGGGGAGTTTCCCTTTTGACAAGTTACAACTGATCAAATGAAAAGCATTTGTTAGTTTTATAGTTTAGTTTAGATTGAATGGTCACATTGGTTGATGAACTCTATTACCTCTTCTAATTAGGAGGTCTCTATTGTTCAAATCTAATCTTTTATCAGTTTTGATGGTATCCATAGCTTATCTTCTCCTATGGAAACAAAAGCAAAACCTCTTCCCCAACGTAACATATATCCTGGTTTCCATTCTGAGGTCAGCACATCTTTAAAGTATATAAACTGATTTAATTCAGTAGTTTTTTTCTATTATCCAATGTCTCTCCACAGCTGTTGTTTCTTTCTCATTAACATTTAGAAAATTTAAAGTTAAGAAAGCATTGTGCAATCTATTTCTTGGGGGTCTTTATTTCCTCTTTCTGTTTATTAAGCATATCTTTTAGAGTTCAATCTTTCTATAACTGCTTGCCCTGTAGGATTGTGTGATATATGCTTTATGTTTAATATGCAAAAAAAAATTTATTTTACTAGAGACATATGCTGGAGTATTGTCAGTCTCAATTTGTACAGGTATCCTCATGATGGCCATAACTTCTGCTAGGTGTATAATTACAGAACCAGCCTTTTAAAACTCAAAGCAGTTGCCCATTGAAATCTTAAATAAGTATCTATGGTATGGTGTACATATTTTAATTTTACAAACTCTGAAAAATGAAAGACATCCATTTGCCAAATTTCATTTATTTATTTGAGTACTCTTTAGGTTATTTCCTGCAGGTAATGGAGTTTGGTTATACAAAGAACAATTAGGACATTTCCTTATAATTTCCTTGTCTTGTTGCCACGTAATAGAAAAAATCTTCTTTCAAACCCTTGCTATTGACATGGTATTTCTTATGAAATCTGTAGCTTCTAGCACATTTCCTACCAATATTTTATCAATTTCATCATTACCTTCTGCTAGAGGGCCTGGTAGACACATATGGGACCTTATATGTGTTATATATAAGGGATGATTTCTATTTCTGATTATTTATTGTAACTATGTAAATAACAAAGTCAATTCTGAATCGTCTGAATAAACACAGCAACTTTCTGCATAATGAGTCAGTAACTATATTAAGAGGTTCTGGAAAATCTAATAATACCATGAGAATAACATATAAATCTGACTTTTGAACAGAATCATAAGGGCTTTCAGCCACTTTTCTTAAATTTCTTGCTTTTCCTGATTTGTTTGCATCTGTAATTTCCTGACTTACAACCTGCCTTTCCTGATTTGTTTGCATCTATATAGAATGTAGGGGCTCAAGAGATTGATGTTTCCCATACAATATGAGGAAAGATCCAGTTAGTTCTTTTTATAAACTAAATTCTCTTGCTTTTCAGATATTTGTTGTTACTCTCTCTCTCTCAAAAAATTACTGCAAGCTCTTTGCCAATGTTCATGTTCTGCCCATAAAGAGGAAATTTTAGCATTAGTAAAAGGTACTACAATTTCAGCAGGGTTTATTCCTGCTGATTGACTACAAAGTCTCAATTTTGCTTTTAGGATAAACTCACAAACCTTTTCTACATAGGTCCTTGTTACCTTGTAAGGTTTGAAATAAGTCACTCAGTTCTTGAGTTGTTAATCTAATTGTGGGCTATAGCCAGTTAATATCTCTTAGCAATTTTTGAAAGTCATTAAGAGTCTGCAATCAATTTCTCCTAATTTGTACCTTTTGGGGTTGAATTTTTGTTTGTTTGTTTTTTGAGACAGGGTTTCTCTGTGTAGTTTTGGTTCCTGTCCTGGATCTCCCTCTGTAGACCAGGCTGGCCTCAAACTCACAGAGATCCACCTGGCCCTGCCTCCCAAGTGCTGGGATTAAAGGCATGCACCACCACCACCACCACCACCACCACCACCACCACCACCACCACCACCCAGCCTGGGGTTAAATTTTTGGTAAACCTATTTTATATCCTAGGTAATTAACAGAATCTCCTCTTTGTATTTTTTCAGGAGTGATTTGTAATCCCCAATAAGGTAAATTTTTCTTTACTTCTTCAAACATTTTATCTAAGGTATCTACATTTGGATCACCTACTAAGATAATTGTCCATATAATGGTAAAATATAGACTGAGGAAACTAATTACAAATTATTTCCAATGTTGTACAAAAAATCGGCATAAGGTAGGGCTGTTTAACATCCCTTGTGGGAGAACTTTCCACTGATATCCTTTAACAGGCTGGGAATTAGTATAAGTAGGCACCATGAAGGCAAATTTTTCTCTATCCTGTTCTTGCAAAGGTATAGTAAAGAAACAGTCTTTAAAATCAAGTACTATAATAGACCATCCTTTAGGTAATAGAGAAGGCTAGGGAATTCCAGGCTGTAAAGAGCTCATTGGCTGAATCACATTATTAATAGCTCTTAGTCCTGTTACCATTCTCCATTTTCCAGATTTTTTTTTTTTGAGGCAGGGTTTCTCTGTGTAGTTTTGGTGCCTGTCCTGGAACTCACTCTATAGACTGAGATCCAGGCTGGCCTCAAACTCAGAGATCTGCCTGGCTCTGCCTCCCAAGTTCTGGGATTAAAGGTGTGCGCCACCACCGCCCAGCCCAGATTTCTTTTCTTTCTTTTTTTTTGGGGGGGGGGGGGTTTGAGACAGGGTTTCTCTGTGTAGCTTTGTGCCTTTCCTGGAACTCACTTGGTAGCCCAGGCTGGCCTTGAACTCACAGAGATCCGCCTGCCTGTCTCCCAAGTGCTGGGATTAAAGGCGTGCGCCACCACCGCCCAGCCCAGATTTCTTTTTAATGATAAATACAGGAGAATTCCAAGGACTGGTCAATTCCTCGATATGTTGAACATTTAGCTGCTTCTGTACTAGTTGTTCTAAGGCCTGTAGTTTTTCTGATGTAAAAGGCCATTGTTCCACCCAGACAGGTTTGCCAGTTGACCATTTTAAAGGTAGGGCTGTTCGTACCTTTGAAAGATCAGTGGCTGTTGTGCCCTGTTTATGTACAACTTGAATGGTCAGTGACTGTTTTTTGTAATACCTTTTAATACTTTTTGTTTTTGTTGTTCTGAGACAGGGTTTCTGTGTAGCTTTGGAGCCTATCCTGAAACTCACTCTGTAGCTCAGGCTGGCCTCAAACTCACAGAGATCCGCCTGCCTCTGCCTCCCAAGTGCTGGGATTAAAGGCGTGTGCTACCACTGCCCAGCACCTTTTAATATTTTTCCAAGAAACAAATATTAGTTTATGGTCTAAGATTGGAGGAATACTAATCTGGATATTCTACCACTATAACAAATCACATCCCCATAAATTCACTGCTATATTAGCCACATATGGCTTTAATTTTCCTCTCTTGTCCTTAGACCCATTTTGCACTTCTTTTTTTTTAACCTGAGATAAAGTTTCAATCCCTAAAAACTGAATATTTACCTCTTGAAGAGGCCAATTTGTATGCCAAGATTGCACCAAAATTTGGTGCAATTATTGTTACACCTATCCCTGTGTCTACAAGATCCTCAATTACAATGTCATTGATTTGTATTTTTAACTTTGGTATTTGATCATTTATAGAAATTTGACAAAATATTTGCTTTATGGTTTCTCTTGAAGTTTTTGTTTTATTATCTAAAGCTGTTCTATCATCTAGAACATGGTTTTTTTTTTTTGTTTTTTTTTTTTTTACAAGGCATTAGGTCCTTTAATTGCTCTGGGGAAGAGTCCTCCCCATGGTGACAGGGAATGATTGATCCAAGTTTGACATGGGGGCCTGAGAGAGCCCCCCCCCCCATCATTTCCTGATGGTAAAGGGTTGTCTTGTCTGTCCCTTGTTGATCTGCATGCATTGGTACAATGTTGGCCTTTGCCACACCTTCAGCATACTCCAGAAGACAGGGCCTTCTATTTGGTTTATTTCTCAGGGGAAAAAATTTGTTTCTTGGAATGCCCTGCCTACAATCCCTTTTTAGATGACCTTTTTTTTAAACCACAATTAAAACA